GTGCTCACCTCTGGGATACCTACAGAAACTCAACTTAATACATGTTCAAATCCTAACTGGCCACTCACATTCAGGGTGACCTTGAGCATGGATTGAATCTCTGGAGCCTCATTTCCTTCTGGGGAAAGCATGGAACAAAACTATCCTTTCCTAAGGTTAGGATGAAGATGATCGGAGACAGTATGCAAAGACCTTGGTACATGCCTGACACTGTCATATACAGATGGACAGGAGCTGTTAGGCCTTCTATGTTTGTCAGCTTCCTACTATAACACATACTGAAGACAATCGACTTACAAAGGGAGGTGGTTTACTTTGGCTTATAGTTTTAGAAGTCCATGATCCACTGGCTCTATTGCTTTGGGTGAGGCCATGTACCATCACGGCCAATGTGTCTGGAAGAGAAAAATCTGCTCCCCTAGCAGCCAGAGAGCAAGAGAGTAATAAAAAGAGAATGGGGTCCCACCCTTCTAAATGACATAAGAGCTCCTAATAGGAGCTACCTCTCAATGCCTCCACTACCTCCAATAGTGCCAAGCTGGGAGCCAGGCCTCTGGGGAACATTCCAGATCTACATTTTAGCACCCTCCTCCCTTGAGGATTCGTTTCTAGGAGGAAGAAGGAAGATGGCAGAGGAAAGAGTTTGCTGGATCTATGAACCTCACAGGCACGGGTTTGCCAAGGTGATGGAGATGGATGTCAGTGGGTGCATTATGGTCTCCACTTCCCACAACCCCGACGCTAGGAGAGTAAATGAGTTCCACGTGGTCATGGATGCCCTGCTTCTTTCTGCTGCTGGGTTTAATAGCCTAATAGCCTCAGAACACCTTTGGTAAGGTACGTGTGGTTTAGCTGTTGGGTTTGGATAGAGAGGACGACTTCGTTAACTGCCATTTTTCCCTATTATTTTTTTCAAAGCTTTCCAGCAGACATATGAATGAATATCTCATGGCTGACTTAATTCTGTAAAATAGGGAGAGAAAGAGAAAACTTAATTTCAGAGTTCTGTCCTCAGCAAACCTCTTTGTTCTCGCCAGACACTAAGGCAAGGCTGGAATAGAATCTGAAGAAGCAATGCCCCTGGAAAAGCGAGGGGGGGGTGCTGCTTCTCATTCTCGGTCTACTATGTATGTTTCATGTGGGCTCTACGAGTGGGGGCTGTGTACACCACTTCTTCCTTCCTTCCTTCCTTCCTTCCTTCCTTCCTTCCTTCCTTCCTTCCTTCCTTTCCATCCTTCCTTTCCTTCTTTCCTTCCTTCTTTCTTTCTTTCTTTCTTTCTTTCTTTCTTTCTTTCTTTCTTTCTTTCTTTCTTTCTTTCTTTCTTTCTTTCTTTCTTTCTTTCTTTCTTTCTTTCTTTCTTTCTTTCTTGTGATAGTGAGGTTTAAACCCATGGCCTCCTAATTGCTAGCTGGGTGCTCTACCACTTGAACCATGTCTTTGGACTTTCTTTTGCACTTTGTATGTGTGTGCATGTGTGTGTATGTACGTGTGTGTGTGTGTGTGTGTGTGTTTTGTGTGTGTTGGGGGGGTGATGGTGTTGGGGATAAAACTCAGAGCCAGAGTACTCATTCTTAACATTTTTGTTCAAGGCTGGTGCTCTGCCCTTTGAGCCACATCTCCACTGCTAGATTTTTTGCTGGCTAATTGAAGATAAGAGTTGCTCAGATTTTTCTGCCTGGAGTGGCTTCAGACTGTGATCCTCAGATCTCAACCTCCTGAGTAGATAGGTTTATGGGAGGGAGCCACCAGAGCCTGGTTTGCTTTTGTTGTTTCTAAAATACAGTTTCACTTTTTGCTAGGGCAAGTTTACACTACAATACCATTTTTGCTTCCCATGTAGTTGGGGTGACAGGCACACACCACTGTTGCCAGCTTTTGGTTGAGATGGAGTAACACAAACTTTTTTGCCTAGATTGTCCTGGAACCCAGTCCTGTCAATCTCAGTCTATTGAGTTGCTGGAATTACAATCACGAGCCACTGCTCCCAGTTTGTAAGCTCAGTTGCTATGGACAGATATAGTTGTAGGGAAGAAGTAGAATGAAGGAGGAAGTATGATGAAAAGCATGAAGTTGGACACAGGGGCTTACACCTATCATCCTAGCTACTAGGGAGATTGAGATCAGAAAGATTGTAATTAAAGGGTCAACCCTGGACAAAATGTTGTAAGACCCCATCTCAGCCCATATACAACTGCAAGCTGTGGTAAGCACTTGTCATTCCAGCTACATAAGAAGTGTAAATAGAAGGATCGTGGCCCTGGGGTGGGGTAAGGGGAGGGGGGGGGCTGGAGAAGCAAGATCCTATGTAAAAAGCATTGAGAGCAGAAAAGGGCTGGAGGTGTGTTTGTGGCTTAAGTGCTAGAGCACCTGCCTGGCAAGTGCCTTGTGGCCTTGAAGAAAAGAGAGAGAGACAGACAGACAGACAGACAAACAGACAGACAGAGACAGAGAGAGGGGGGAAGGAAGGAAGGAAGGAAGGAAGAAAGGAAGGAAGGAAGGAAGGAAGGAAGGAAGGAAGGAAGGAAGGAAGGAAGGAAGGAAGAAAGGAAGGAAGAAGGAAGAAAGGAAGGAAGGAAGGAAGGAAGAGAAATAAAATAAAACCAAAATAAATACAAATTGAGTGTGTCAAATCCAAGAGTTTAGTAGTTGAAATACTTTTAAGAGTCAATTCGATATATTTAAATTTAACGGAGAGCCACCTTTTGAAATATTCTAGATGTAATTTGAGACTCGGGACTGTGGTTCTAATGGGCTTTTTCCAGCATACATGCTCCCTCACCTCTGCCTCAGGAAAAGGGGCAGCAGAGAGCAATGCTAATGTCTGCCTAACTTCTGCAGAGCAATGGATGGTGACAATGGGGGAAAGGAGACCAGGGCTCATTTTATTTTATTTTAATTTATTTATTTTGCTGGTTGTGGGGTCTGAACTCTGGGCCTGGGTGCTGTTCCTCAGCTCTTCAGCTCCAGGCTAACGCTCTACCACTTGAGCCACAGTGCCACTTCTGGCTTTTTCTGCTTTTGTGGTGCTGAGGAATCGAACCCAGGGCCTCATGCATACAAGGTAAGCATTCTACCACTGAGCCACCTTCCCAGCCGCACAGGGCTCATTTTAAATAGACAAATAGAATTTGAGATGCAAATGATTAGAAGCAATCCTGCGGAGGAGAATCAATTTCCCCTTTGGTGAATGGTGGCATCCAGTTTGCTCTATCCTGGTACACTGCAAGCTACCCTGTGTCCAGGATTTCTATCTGACACATCACTATTTTTGTTGTTGTTATTATAACTTCACTGGGGCCTTAGAAGGAAATGTGACTTTATCAATTCTCTCTTTACAAACTTTCAATGACCTTTTGAAGCCACTGGAGTAAATACAATTATTTACTCATGTGTAAAAGAACATACATACATCGAGTTGATATTTAACATCATGCTCATATACAGGCATACAAACACAACAAGTAAAGACATCAATTGAAGCCACTTACAGAAGGTACTTTTCAAGGTCCCAGAGAATTATATACCATGAGCCTTGGATCTCAGCCTCCAGGGTAGCTAGAATTTTAGATGTGATCCACAAACACCTGGCCCATAGATCAAAAATAGTTTAAAGATAGCTCATATACCAAATACAGGAAGACATTTTTTCCTTGACATTATTTCCTACATGATATATTTCCTATACAATATAATATTTCCTATATGCTAGAATAACAATTTGTTTGCAACTTACATTCTGTTAGGTCTCCCAAATCATCTAGAAATGAGTTAAAGTCTATGAGAAAATGTATGTAGGCTATGTGCAAATACAAGTCCATTTCATATAAGATCTTAAATATGCACAATTTTAGGAATCCACAACAACTATCTCTCCACCACTTCCCTAAGGATACTGAGGGGTGCTGTGCTGGTTTCTGCTATTGTTTCTTGTTTATTTCATTCTTCTATTTTTGGTGGCTACTGGGTTTGAAGCCATGTTTATGACCCCATAATTTAATTGAAAGTTTGGTTTGTTCTTTAGAAGTTCTGCTGAATGATCTCAGGCAGAAGATGGTGTCCTTATGCCAGGATGGGATGAAGGTGATCTAGAACTCTCCGAAGACCTGAACTCAAGACCTCCGACTCTTCAGAAATGTCAGCTCCTCCAGGGAAAAGAGTTGTCTGCTAGATGTCATCAAAGGCTGAGCACTTAAGCCCAGTGGTCCAGGAGAACAGAAACAGAGGATCCTAGTGTTTCCATTTGTGTTCAGTGGGAAGATACTTGTGAGACGCAATTGTAGCATTTTCCAGATCCAGGCCCCTTTTGATTTTCTTGAGGTCATATAAAAAAACCCCAAACCTCTGGGTACTTTATAACCTATATGAGAAGTCACGGAGCCCCAGTAAGCACTGATGTTGACATTTTAATGGGTTTACTAAGTGGAAGTTGTGAGCCAAGTTTAATTTGTTTTAAAGAAAGCAACAGGGCGATTCATCTTGCCAGACAAACACCTCTTACAATGATTAAAATACAGGACCCTGAGCGTTTATTATGCTAGTTAAAAATGTTTTATGCCAATAATGAGGCTTGAACTCTGGGCTCTGTACGCTCACTTGGCTTTGTTTTACACATAGCTGGCACTCTGACTTGAGCCATGCCTCTAGTCTAGCTTTGTGCTAGTTAATTGGCGATAGCGTCTCAGGGACTTCTCTGCCCTGGCTGATTATGATCTGTGAGTGTCAGATCTCAGCCTCCTGAGTAGCTAAGATTACAGGTGTGAGCCACTGGCACTTGACTTTTCTTAAGCTAGTGTTTCAGAACTGTGTGTGTGGCTATATTAATTGGATTCACTCCACTGTGAAGTTCTCAGTTCCATGGATTGCTGATGCTTAGATAGAAATTCAGTACTGTTGGTGCTGCCAGTGGGCTGGGAAATAGATGTGTTGTGGTGGTTAGCTTTTGTTGTCTTTTGGTTAATTGGAGATAAGAATCTCAGGGACTTTCTTGCTTGGGTTGGATTAAAAACAATGGTTAGAAGCCAAAAAGTAGGTGGCCGTGCCTTAACTATATTTATGTTCTCAGGCCCAACAGCTTATTCCATCCTTGTCCAAAGGAGTGCTAATGTTATCTCCATTCACACAACATTCACCCCAGCTAGTTTGTTTGTTTGTTTATATTTCTTTAAGTAGTTGTAAGAAAGAGTTGCCATTCACAAGAGCAGTTTATGAATACAATGCATCTTGATGATTGTCACCCCTTGGAACATTCCCACGCACTCCTCCCCATCCACCCCTTCCCTTACTTATCTTAATTTTAGGTTATGTATTGAATTCTTTTTGCTTTTTGACAAAGCAGTTTATATGTACAATGCATCTTGATCTGTGTCATCACCTCCACATCTTTACCTCCCTTTGACTCACCCCTTCCCCTGTAGTTCTCAATTCTGTGCTAGAAAAATGAGAGGCAGAAGGGGGAGAAAGCAGGCAAGAACCACCTCAGCTAGTTTTAAGAGAGAAAGAACCCTCCACACTACAGCACAGCACAGACTAGTCACGTGGGCTGGAGTGAGTGCTTGGCTATGTGACAGAAGCAAGAAAATGATTTTCCTACCTAGCCTCTAAGAAACTCCTCCTGTTCAAGACCCACATGATGGAGGGACCTATGAGAGAGGTTTTGTGTGTTTCTTAAAACTTCCTAACTCACTTGAATCTCACATTATGAAAGCCATGGAGCTCCATGCCCCAAAGAAAAGCTGCCAAACACCAAGTACTCGATCCTCCCTTGATTCTCCTAGTTTTCTCTTAGTCAAGTTGCTGGGCTGGCAGGATGTGTGGGGCTGGCTGGCTTCATATTCACAGCTCCGTTGAATCTTCACTGTGCTGTGCTTGTTCTGAGTAACTTATTAGAAAGTAATTAAGGAGGAGGCTGGCAAGCCTGCAGAAATAGCATCTCTAACCCCATGTGTGTTCTGGGGAAATGACATAAGTAAACACTAAGGAAAGAGCCAAGCGTAGTGGCACATACCTGTCTTCTCAGCTACTCAGGAAGTGGAGAGGGGAGGATCTTATTCTGGGAAAAAGCATAAGACCCAATGTGAAAAAAACAAAACCAAACAAAACCCACCCAACTAAAACCAAAAGAGCTTCGGGAAGAAGAGAAGCTTCAACCAAGAGATATTTATTTATTTATCGTTTATTTATTGTATCATGGTTTCCTTTGCAAAAAAGGAAAGTCAACAGAATATGGTTTTTGCTTAAAAATTATTCAATTTTGTTCACACCTCTGCCCAGTTCCACAGTAAGCTTTTCAACTACATAAGACAGTGAGACTTCAATGCTCACCATTTTAATTAGGTTCATTGATTGCCCCAAAGCTGAGCTTAGAACTTAAGAGACAATCTGTTAGCATGTCTAAGTCTTTACACATAGTTTGTTTTCTGTTTTTCCCTCTTATAAAACATGATGCAAGATGGGTGCTAGTGGCTCATGCCTATACTTCTAGCTACTCAAGAGGCTGAGATCTAAGGACTGTGTTTCAAACCTAGTCAGGGAAGGAAGGTCCATGAGGCTCTTATTTCTAAATAAGTGTCAAAGATGGAAGTGGAACTATGGCTCAAGTGATAGAGAGTACCAGCCTTGAATGAGAGGGCTAAAGGATAGCACCAAGGCCTAGGACTGGCACCAAAAACCTACAAACAAAACTATTGCAAAACAGCACTACAATGCAAAAGAAGAATCTGCTTTTTAAAATAAATACCATATTACTCAAAGGGTCACTTTTTTAATATTGTTATGGTTCTTTTGGTCCTGTTTGTGCCATGTAGAGAGCATATAGCTTTACAAAAGTTTTTGTTGAGTCATCCAACTATGGAAAGTTTGATTTTCTGCTGTTTTCAGTCAGCTTTGTGTTACAGATGGCTTTTTCATGTGTAATGTTTTATACCTTTCTCTGATGATTGCACTTTGGGCCATTTTATATTTAAATATTTGTAGATAATGTTGGAAGAACACGTTCTCTTTATTTTTCCACCATTTTTCTTTTGTATTTTCCCAGATTTGATTAGTGATAATAAATTACATATCTAAAAGAATTTCTAGTTCTGTATATAATACCTAATTTGATCTCATAATTTTGTGACAGCTGTATGATTATTACAATTTTACAGATGATATGAAAGAGTAATTTTTATCTTTTTAATTTTTAATAAAAACCTACATTATTCTTAGACTCCTTAAAGACACTTCCAGTTCTGTAGGAGTTTTTAAGGGTCCTCTACCTACAATTACAATGCCATTAGCTTGTTGTGTTTAAGTTACACACACTTCCCTTCTAATTTTTTTTCAGTACAAGATTTTAAACATAGAGCCTCTCTTCCACTAGCAAGGAGACATAGTAACCATACCCTTTTCAGTGTACAAATTCATGTCTTTGCATCAACTACCTCCTTAAGGAATAATGAGTTGGTAAATGTGGGCATTCATTCCCAAATATTCACAGATTAGTTCCTCTATAATGTGTTCTGTTGATAAAATATTCAATGTAACCATGACTGATAGGATGATTACGAGAATATGAGGGAGGCAGACATTGAAAGGGGCCAAATTTATGACACTATGTTGTAAATGCTACCCCAGGGAAGGCAAGCGTGGCCGGAGTTGTTTCTAATCAACTTATGGAGAGGGGAGAGAGATGAGTGGTTTGAATTTTATGTGGAAATCTGGGTAGAAATACCATTATCCAAGGGTCTAGCAAAAAAAAAAACAAAAAAAAAAAAAAACCAACCACACCCAAAACAACAACAACAACAACAACAAAACTATGGCCTGCAACCTTGATGCAGTCTTTTTTTTTTTTTTTTGGTCAGGGTTGAGAGACATCAGGGATAATTAAATCCTAAACCTCAGAGTCAGAGAGATCCGAATTTAATACTTGCTCTTGTCATATGCATGTTACCTGGTGTGAGTTATTAAACCATCTGAATAGTTGTGCTACTTCTGGTGGGTCTTAGATTGGGTTGCATTTCTGGGAAGTGTAGTAATACCATTCTTCATTTCCTCATTGTTCTTGTCATTGCTAACGCCTTCCACTTCAGGTACAGGGAAAGGAGAGGAAAACAATCAAGCAACTCTCTTGATTTCTCAGGATGGATCTTTGTCTACAAATTGAAAATTATCTAGATCTTGAGAATGTGAAGAGACAAAATAACTTTTTTAAAGTGAGTTTTAACTCCTTTTAGTGAGTTTAGGAGTGAGGATCCTTTTCTCTTGGTCTTCAAGTACACTCAGTGCTGACTACTAGAAAATTTTCTTATAGGTGTGGTAAGCTAAATGAGTCACCTCACAAAACAATGGGTAAAGTAAATGATGTGAAACAGGTAAAATATTTCTGTGTACCTCCTCCCATTTTTCTATTAAATGAGTCACAGAAAGGAAATATAAGACTGACTCTTCAGAGGCCAGCCTGTTGAATATAAAAGCTCAACCCAAAGCTGAATAAATAAGGATAAATAAGAATTTAATGACAGAGTTGGGCCATCCAACATCACTATTGTTGAAAGGAAGAAAGAGATACAACTATCCCTTATCTCATGTAATAAAGAATGAAATTGAGGTTGGATAGAAAGCTCTCTGAAGTCACTTGACTCCTTTTTTAATTGAAATTGTATTGTAAACATGATGTACAGAGGGGTTACATTTATGTAAGTAAGGTAATAATAAACTCAATGTTATTCTACAACTCCAAATGCCAGAGACCAGCATCCCATCAGATTCCATTTTTTAATGTTTTTGATGGTACTGGGGTTTGGACTTGGGCCTTACACTTGCTAGACAAGGACTCTACAACTTGGACCATGTCTGTAGACCCTACTAGATTTATTTTAGATGATTCTAACTATTTCTAGGTAAGACTCAGTCTTTAATCTGGATGGTTTAAATTTTTAACAAAAGAAAAAATATACGAGTATGTAATGATTTCTTTAGGTCAGGAATTCAGGATCTTCGCGCAGTTTTCTGTTTCATGTGTCATTGAAGCCACTAGTTAGCATTCATAGAGCAGAAGAGCAAATGGGAGAGAAACCAAGATGGTTTATCTCATGGATCTGGAAAGTAAAGCCCAGCCTGGACTCTGGAATGAAACCTTGACACACCAAATTCCAAGAGAGGTAGTCTGCAGGGAAGTGAGATGTCTTCTATGTATTTCAGGGCTCTCAGAGTGAGCACACAAATAGGATGAATAGAAGATGCAAGACTTCTCATGACTTAGTTCATAAGCCCCAGAACACCAAGTCTACCGCATGCTACTGGTCAAGCTCAACAGTAAAGGCAGCCTGTATTCAAAGGAACGAGAAAGACTTGATCCCCTGAGGGGAGAAATAGTGAAAAATTTGTTAGACATCTTTATTCTAACATTCAGTTTCATAGACTTTGGCTAGGTGCTAAAGGCTAGGGCTATTGACAGCACATATTCTTCCACAATATGCTAATACTTTGCTGTGGATAAACATGTTCATGTCCTCCTTACTGCAAGCTCCTGGAATGTCCCACCTGAGTGTGGCTGAAGCATTTATCTCAGCTCACTCAAAGATTAGGTCATGTCTAAGGAAATCTCAGCTCATTGAAGGTAGAAGATAGAGGTTGCATCCCCCATCTCCTTACCATCTCAGGTGAGACAGATCTCAAATGAATTTTACAGAGAATCTCTGTCATGATTGGCCCCGAGTCACCCTCAGTAATAACCTGCCAGCCCCACCATTATTTATTTCTTCCCCCTGTTTCACTTTCCAACTCTCCTACCCATGCTGACGGGGAGCTTCTCCCAAATAAATTGCCTGTGCTTCTGGACCTAGGTCAGTGGGACACAGGAATGGAGTTGGCAGCTTTATATGAATTCCAGACACATTTTTTTGTCTGGAGATCTAGGAGTCCCCACAAGCCACATGAAATTCATCAGTTGAAAAGGACCCAAGATCCTTTTTAGGGAGGAAAGTTATCACCTTTGAAATTTACTATTGCAATGTAAAATTTTTATTGAAATGCACGTACCATCATTCTGAACATACTTATTACTGGAACTTTTTAAAAATCCCTGGCACATGATGTTGTTTATAAATAAGCTGCTTTACCAAGCACTAACCTGTGTAAATG